ATCTCCCCTGCCACCAATACCACAACGCATAAGTTCGTCGGCAGCGTCAGATCAGTATAAGAGACAGCCCTCCACCAATCTCACCCCCGCAGACTCCATCTTCCGCTCCACGCTGGACAATACCACCATCGCCAGGACACCCGATGCTACAAGCACCAGCATCAGCATCAGCATCAAACGCAGCAAACTCCACTCCTGCACACTCACCAACTCCTCCACCCGCCGCTGCACCCTGTCCAACACAACCCTCCTCAACGTCCCCGCAGCCCGGTCGCTCGACGCAAGCGACTCCTCACTATCTAATATCCGCCGTGTCCGACGGAGCGAGATACGCCACAGCGCCGTGAGCGATAGCGCTGTGAGACGGAGCACGGTGGTCGACTCGACCGTGAAGCAGGGCTGTCTTCTCCGGCGGAGCAAGCTGGACCATGTGACTGCCTGCAAGAGCCGGTTGAAGAGGGCGGTCCTGAGGGACTGCGAGGCGAGTGAGTGTGTGATCATCGGGACGGAGTTTACGGGGATGAGGTTGAGGTTCGGGGTGTGGAAGAATGGGCGGTTGGTGGGGAGGATTGGGGAGGGGGAGGTTGTTGCGGAGGAGATTGGGGAGGTAGGTTTTTTTTCTGTTTGCTTATTTCTCTGCTTTGTGTTTGAGTGATGTGCTGATAGTGATGAAGGGCAAGAAGGGCAAGGATGCTGTCCCTGGTGATGCGAAGGTTGAGAGGCTCGATTACAAGATTCTCCAGGAGGAGAGCGAGTCGGAGGATGAGTCCAGTGTGAGTGACGAGGAGGCGGAGCGGCCGCCGCCGTATGCGCCTTGATTTGGTTAACTTTGAGGGCCGTGCATGATTCATATTCATGATATGTAATGATGCTATGATGTCGCTATGTACGTGTTTATCCAGCAACAACATACTGCTTCTCCGTCTTCAACTGGCTCAGGGTCTCATTGCTGAGCTTCAGAGTATCTGCCACGATCTGCCGCGGCGTAGATGCTATCCATTGACCTAGTGCGATGTCTGATATCCTTGTTAGCATGACCCTAGAACAGAGCTGAGAGCTACAGGCTACTGCTACACTCACCGGTGAACTTATCTGCCTGGAGCACCTCAAGGAACATCAGGTCGTCGTCGCCCGTATTCTCGATATAGTGACTGTTCGACTGCGGGAAGTATCCCACATCCCCGGCCCGGTAGTCGAACGTGGTCGCCGTACTGGGCGCCGAGAACAGCGTCGCGCGTCCCTGGCCCCGGATAAAAAAGGTCCACTCGTCGCTGCTCGGATGCCAGTGGATTTCGCGCATCCCGCCCGGCTTGACGGTCACGACTGCCGCGGAGAAGTTACTGGCGATGGGAAAGGTTACTGGGTCGACGATCTTGACTGACCCGCCGGCGACCTCGTGGGCGGGCTGCTCCGAGAAGTGGTACGAGTAGCTTTGCGCTCTGGGAACGAGGCCGGCGGCTGTCGTGACGTTTTGAGCCTCGATGTCTTTGGGGGCCGGGGTGCCGGGGAAGATGTACAGTTCGTCCTCGGGGATGTTTTCGAATGCCGCGATGGGGACACCCAAGTCTTTGGCTAGGACTTCTTTCTAGTTGCTATCAGTCATCTTTGGACGAGGAGAGGTGCGGACAGGTGCATACCGGGTTATGTGCAAAGACTTCCGAGGCGAGGAATGTATTATCCTCGGAGAAGGAACCGTCATCGAAGACGAGAAGGAACTCGACGCCTGTGTCGAGGGCTTGGATGGAGTGAGGAATGCCCCTAGCCGATCAGCATTTCTGTTTACGATGATGGCTTGCGTGACATACGGAGGGAAGAACCAGACATCGCCTTCGCTCACGTCGTCGATGAACGTTTCACCATTCTCGTTGATGGCCTGACGGTCAGCAAACATCGGTGAAAGGCGGGGAAACGTACCTGAATACGACAGGATCCATTGAGGACCAACGACCACTCCGCCGCAACATGCCAATGCAGCTCCCGATACGCACCGGCTTCGAGGCGCATGTCCACACCGGCCATGAGTGTTGCGTCTGGCATGACGTTGGTATTCTCCTGTCGGGCCCACCCAGCCCCATCTTTGCCGAGTCTACTTAATTAGCAACCTCCTTCAAGCGAACGGTTGGCCTACCTGTTGTGACTGAGTCCTATGAAAGGTTAGCATGGTGTACCATCATGAAGATAAAGACATACCCATCGGCCACTGAGCATTGATCGTTTGACCATGATCCGTCCCGGGAGGAGCCAGCTTATCACTATTGATCTGATCATAGTAATCATTCCCTGCCACCGTGAGCAACTCCAATCTCATTAAATGCGGGGCTCAAGACGAACGACGTACTCGGTCCGGGATCCGTCCCTCCCAGATCCCCCCGGATAGGCTGGGGATTGTCCACAGTCTCAAAATCAAGATACACCCCGTTATCCGCATCCTCCTTTTGGCCAGTCACCAGGGTATACTTGACCTCCGTCGACTGCTCTGTGATTGTATTGGAGGAGGAATAACCTAGCAGATCCTCCGAGCCCCTCAACGGAGGATTCGAAGGCTGGGCTGTGGGCGCTCCATCTGCCCAGGGGAGAACAAGAAGGAGAGCTTGCAGGATGTGGACCGACTTCATTTTGGGATCAGGCTTGATATGGTCCGAGAATCAACCCCATTGCGCGAGATGACTCCCTTATATACCACAGTTCTGCGGAGGAGAATGGGCATGGCCGGGTATCAACAGGGTCAGTACCCCTCACCGTCCGGATATTCCTTGATACAACATCATGGTCCAGTCCAGGCAGCCCTAGTCGACCGGCAACGGATTACCCCTCATGAGAGGAAGACCATGTCGGATGGTAGGCAGAGCATCAGCCCTGTGGGGGGAAGGTGAACGTAAGAAGCCAATGGGTCGCCTGATGTGGGTAGTCCGATGGCGGATGGCCTGAAGAATCAAGAATGTGATAGTATGGTGTAATTCTCGCTGACATCAGTGGGGATATTGCCCAGTACAGTGTACACATACTCAACAAGACATCACCATAGCACCATAGCACCATAGCACCAAATACCAAGCCACACCCATCCTAACCCTAACCCAGCCAGGAAACCTCCTCCGACCTCCCCAAATCCAACAAGTATCGCAGTATAACCCAGTAGTAGTACAAAACCACCTCTCCACCTGCAATGCACTACACCCAGCACATCACATTCACATCCTATACTGCAGATACTATTAGTCTCCTGTGGCAATTATAACCAGTATCGTATCCCCCGCACGGCGAGTCATACCCGCTAGTGCTACCAAGAATAAACACACCCATGCAGAATCCCCTCCCCACCTCGCTTCGCAGGCTGCATCATTTTCCGCTATGAGGTGGATACCGTTTCCAGGATAGCCAGATAGCCAGATAGCCACGGCACGAGTGTGGATAGAACCCGTTGGCCGTTGCCCCAGAAGACTGCACAATGGGTGGTATCTTACCCCGCACGAGGGCATTCTCCAAGCTCTGTACGTGCTCTGAGGGAATTCGAGATGGGAACGGATGCTGGGTATATTGGGTGTACGTATGCTTCTGACTTGCTGATGCAAGGCTAGGTGGAGTCAGAATGGTGGTCAGTACTAGGCAGCTGCGTTGAGTAAGACCTATGTGGCTTGGCAGGTAAGCTGTTGTCTATGTATTAGGATATACGTGTATATACACCAATGTCTATTGAACATCAAAGTCAGAGCAAATCATATCTCATCGCCCATCAGAGTCATTGGGGACGGTCAGTGTCACGAACACCCCTTTGGAACCCGACAGCTCTTCCGGGCCTCCTCCGGCATGGTCATGTATATAACGTCTCGCACCTCCTTACCCACCTGCTCCACCGCGTCCATGGCCCACAGCACATCCAGATGCTCATACTCCTCAATCACCTTGGAATGTACCACCTGCACATGCGGCTCGCGTCCGCCCCGGAACCGCTGGAGGAGACGCCGCCCGTCGACCAGCGCATCAGACCCGGCGACCCACAGCGCAAACGGGGGCGTCTGCGGCCCGTACCAGGCGGTGTCGGTGCGCGGGCCCGGTTGGTCTCCGTTGTGTTGCAGACGGAGATCCTCCTCCATCTCGGCAAGGGTGTCTTCCATCGTGGCCAGGATGCACCGCTGCGTCGCGAAGCAGCCCCGACCCAACCACCACCGTATCGTCTCGCTGCTGACATACACCGGCGCGAATTGGAACATGCGATCGCGCAGTCCGCGATCCCAGCGGGCGTCGCTCCAGCTGAACAGGTGCGCGAAGACATGATACCCCAATGCTCCGTAGATGCGGGGATGGAGGAAGCGGTGGACGGTCATCATGATCGGGATGAATGCGTGGATGCCGAAAACGGTCCGGAACATGCCGGGCGGAACGGCTCGCATGAATCGAAAGTAGAATCTCTCGATCAAAGGTCCGGCATATACGGCCGGCGCGAGGGCACAGAAAACAGATATCCTCTCGCCCAGCTCCGGGCGGTGGTGTTTGGACAACGCCACGAATGTCTGCGTCGTGCCTTGCGAGTGGCACACAAGCCCCAGCTTCTCAAACCCGGTCTCAAACAGGACCCGCGAAACAAGCGCGGTCAGGTCCTGCACGCCCATCTGCCGGATGTTCCACGCCCACATTCGCGGATCGCCGGCCGATAGCGTTGTATGCTCCGGCGTCATCCCACAGCGATTATTGCCTAACCAGACATCGTACCCGGCTTTACAAAGATAGAAAGCCAGACTGTCGTCGTCGTTTGTACAGAACGCACCAGCACTCTGCAACAGTCCATGAACCAGCAAGACAGGATAGCGGCGGTTTCGACCGGAAGCATTCACCTGCCTCCGTCCAGTAAACACGTCCGGGCCTCGGGTCCCTCTCTCCTTAGCAGACAAGGGCGTATACTCCTGCGGGTTATAGACATGCCACAGCGTGATGATGAACCCATCCTCCGTCTGGACTCGGAACGTCTCCACATCGAGTCCCACCCGCCTCGCGTAATACGCAACATCACAAACAAGCAAGTCCCTCCCGCCCTCCAAGGGCGGACACTCATCCGGCGCCTCCTCGTCAACATCCCTCTTCGCCTGCCGCTGTTTCCACCGCCTAAGCTCCTTCTCCCGATTCAACTGCCGCTCGCGCTCCTCGGCATAAAATTTCCGCCGAGAGTTGGGATCCTCACCGCCAATTCGAAGCCGAAGATTGTGCAGCTGCGTGCCAGCGAAGCCTACAAGCGCACCAATCACAACGACCCCCAGGAACAACAGCGACAGAACGAACGAGACACAACGCAGCGCCACACAGCGTACCGTGAGCGCCAGCGAAGGCGGACTGTACGAGGGAAGCGGTGGGAACAGCGGATGCGCCGGAAGAGCGGTGTCGGGCTGGTACCGGTGCTGCGGCTGCAATTGCGATTGCGATCGCTTCTGCGTGTCCTCCAGGAGTCCGTCCGTCACCGCTGCGGCCACTGCTGATTCGACCTTTTCGTCTTCGCGACTAGTCCTCAGGTTTCGTAGTTCGATGTCGGGACTGGAGCGGAGGAGGTTGCCTGTTGCTTTGGGCGTGGGGGGTTGGACGTCAATGGGGTCACTCTGGAGAAAGATCCTCGAGGACCGATTGTGTATTGTAACGTCTTCTTCCTGCGTGAGGTCCAGGCTGGCGGGCCGTTCTGCGGTACGTGATGCCATTAACATGGTGTCAGGGGGTACTGGATGTAGTAAAGACTGGAGAATGCCTCATTTTGCCATATTCGTGGTCAAGAATGGGAAAGAGAGAGAAAGCGAGTGTACGACTGGCCGTAGAAGAGGTACTGTGAACATTGACCAGGAGAATCAAGAATGACCACCGACTTGGATATCGTGCACGGACTCCTTACAGGTTTCCGGTTTCAGAACAAGCTCAGGCCCTTTTCACGTGAATCTTGGAGATAGCGGGTCAGGTTCTCCAACTGCTGAGCCCCCCAGCCAATCATATCATGCCTCCCCGGCCATGCGGTCATAGTGCCTGACGCGGCCTGAGGCGTCCACGGGACATGGTTCGCCTCAGGAGTCAACCAACGGCAGGAATTCACGAATTACAATGGAAGAAATTTAGGAATGATCTGATCATCTACCATTCATCGAACATATCAATCATCAAGAGTCCAGGTATCTCCATATGCGCCGTTAAACTGCCCATCAAAACAAAGATGAATGCTTCCCAACAAACAAGAAAGAAAAAAAAATTAAGCCTTTTCCAGGTGCTCAAGCTTGTGCTTCTCTTGAGCGTCAGCCTCGAGCTGAGAAAGGTTGGCCTTGTTGCGTCCCTCGGCTACATCCCGGACATCGGTGAAGTGCACCGAAGGGGCGAAACCAGTCGACTGCCAGGCCTTGGAGATCTTTCCATAGAGCTCATCGACTTGCTCGAGAGAAAGACCCTTGGTCTCATAGATGCAGGTATACACAAAGACAAAAGCGATGAAGCAGAAGCCACCCCAGATGAAGAATACCTTGGACTGCAGGTTGGCATTGCCCGGGCCGCTGTTGACCATGTAAGGAGTAGCGTAGGCGATGGCCCAGTTGAGCAGCCAGTTGGTAGCAGTTGTGATGGAGAGACACTTGGCACGGGCCTTGAGTGGGAAAAGCTCACCAGTCACAACCCAGGCAACAGGTCCCCAGGAACAGGCGAAGAAGAAAATGTAGATGCACACGAAGGCGATCAGGACCTTGTTGGCCACGTCGGACGAGGTTGCAGTGCCGACGATGGCGACGATAAGCTGGCTGACGCACATACCAACAGCTCCAAACATCAACAGAGGACGACGACCCCACTTCTCGACCATGTAGAGACCGGGGAAGGTAGACAGCACGTTGACGATGTTGGTGATGAGAGTGATGACGAAGGGATTGCTGATGCCAGAGGCATTGAAAAAGGTGGTTCCGTAGTAGACTAGAAAAATCAGCAAGGCCCGGATACTGGAAGAAACGAGGAGGACTTACAGATGAAGTTGACACCGGCCAACTGCTGCAGAGCTTGGATACCGCAACCGGTAGCCAGTCGCTTGCCGATGGAGCCACGGAGAATCTCGAGGTAGCTCGCCGTACCCATGGTTAGCTCGTACTCATGGTTGGCCTGAATCTCGGACAACTCCTCAATGATGGCTGGATCGTTGATATCAATGCGGCGCAGGCGGGCAAGAGCCTTAGCGGCGGCCTCGTGCTTATCCTTCTTGATCAGGAAACGAGGGGTTTCTGGAAGAACCAGCATACCAGTGACGAGGATAATAGCCCAGGCAAACTGGATTGCAACTGGAATCCGGTAGCAGCCAGTGTCCATACGATCCTTGGTGGCATTGTTCACGATGGCAGCAACCAGCAGACCAATGGTGATGGCCAGCTGATAGGCTCCGACGATGGTACCACGAATCCATTTGGGAGCTGTCTCGGATTGATACAGGGGAACTGGTCCTGTCAGTACACGGCCACCAGGAGGGGGCAAAGGGATGAGCAACACACCAGTCGCAGAAAGAAGACCAACACCGAATCCGGCGAAGAACCTGCCAGCGACGAACAACGGGATGGAAGTGGCGGCGGTCTGAAGAATGACACCAACGCAGAAGACGGCCGAGTCGATAATCATACCAATGCGTCGTCCGAAGTAATCGGCAACAGGCGCGGCGCCCAGAGCTCCGAAGAAAGTACCAGCAGACAACAAGGAGACGATCATCGATGATTGAGAGGATGTGACATCAGGCCAGTTGTCGTCAGGGTTGATGTAGCCGGTGGAGAAGAGCTTCCGCCAGTACTTCATAGCAAGGATGCCACTGATGGTGCCGGTATCATAGCTATAACAGTCCTTTGATCAGCTGCCGTGCCAAGGTCAATCAAAATTGGGTCCGAGTCGGAGGCTTACCCGAATAGAATACCACCAAACGCGACGAACAAACCAATGATGATGGCAGGCGCCGCAGAGCCTACCGCATCATCGGGCTTTCTTAACATGAAGCCCATGATGAGAGTCTAGTGTAGTAATGTGCAAAGGACAAAGTGTATGATCAACAAGTCCAAGAGTATTGGAAGTCTTGTCAACAGATAAACGAGATACCCTGAGACACTGACACAATGGCAGTAGAGGATGGATTGGGAGAGAACGAAGAGGTCAAAGAATTGACGATCACCCTGGGGTATGCGGGAGATTTTATACTCCCCAAACCGGCTTCTTGAGAGTTAACCTGAATGAAAAAGGAGAAACCTGGGGATAACCCCGCCATATCCACAGAGGCAAAGCACGAATGCTGGTTGGCCGCAATCAGCTTCCTGGCGCAGTCATTTCAAAACGACGGGCAGTCCACGGGACAGCAGTCAGCAGCGTGTCTGGACTCCACTGTGCCGGCCGTGTCTGGAGTCTGGTCCGTCTGGAGTCCGGAGTTTCTATGGAGGAAGACAGGGACACGAGGAGTGCAGCCGCTTCAGCGTATGGGATGCCGAAACGGTCTGAAGCCGCGGGGACTGGAGGACACACACGAGGCCGTTTGCATTCGGAATGGGGAAGTAATCCGAGGTGCTGAGGCTTCATTGGCCGATAGCAACAACATCAGACCGCATCTGAGACACAGAGCAAATAGTCGCTGCAGTGGATGAATTCTAGAAACCCACTCGGTTCGGGGACACCGAAGGGTTCATTGGTTGGTTGGGTTGATCAAGCTACGTCGATGGCGGCGTTAGACTTTTCTCTCTCTTTTTTTTAGGGGCCCCTCCGCCCCTGAAGGCCTGAACTGTTCCCGTCGGTGTACATTTCGAGACCGGGGATCATCGACCACGGGCCAGACTCAGTGTCGAAGTGAGACGTGGGTTTCTGACTGTCGGCACCCTGCACTGTTTGGTTTGATGCTGTTGACTTGGGAAGAATCACCGAGGGAAAGCCGGATGCGGGACCTGGAGATTGTGTCTGGAGAAAGATGAGAAGTGCAAGTCCGGAGTCGGGAAGAAAACCTGGAGATGCCGGAATCGGGCATGATTGTCGGCCCCTCGTGACATTTCGGGGTGTCAGACTCAGCACGATCCCGGCCACTCTTCGGCGAAAACAATTAATTTTACAAATGACAATAGTGAGAGAAACCTAAAATAACTTGCCAGTGGCAATCAGTGGAAATCATCTCAGTGGCTTGGCTTGACTATTGAGAATCAAGTCTTGTTGGCATCTAGAAATTTCTCGCAATTATTGGAGAGTTGATTCTGCGGTTGAGGGAACCTGAGGCCTCGAGGCAAAACTCCCCCTTGCTTGTGACAGTACTCCTAAGCAGGACGCTCTGGATGGTTTCATTTCTGTACACTTAGGTAACAAGAATTCGATCTGAACTGGGGCAATCTGGATGATGATGATACACTAGAATCAAATAGAACCTGAACCATGGATTCGATAATTTTTGCCCTGTCCCTGCGCAACTCAGAATTGTGGGCTTGTTTTTATTAGGAGACAGCGAGATAAATCCCTCATTGACAAGGATGCAGAATTGACTACTGCAGACTCCTGTACAAAGCAAGGTATATCACATCTCCCCTCTCTTCTTCGTCGTTCTATTTTCTTCCCATTACAAGTACGTAGTCTAATACTCCGTAGACTAAAACTTCAAGCCACCCGAACAAGAATCTCTAAGAATCAAGACCATCAAAGCCAAACACTGTTAAGTGATGATTCTCACCGCCACGGCGCCACCAGAAAAAAAACCTTGCCGATCAGTAATTTCCACTGAAGCTTAAACTCATGCTGATTCTAATTCCCAACTTTTTAACCAGTATCAAGGACCCAAAGAAAAAATATATTAGAAGTGCTGTGGCAGGTCTTGGTGGACACTGCTGTGGACTTTCTAGATACACTCAAATGGTCTTGCGTACGGTTGTGGTTTGCTATGGACTTTATTTATCTTCTGTCAGTGTCATTATACCACGCCTGAACAATGATTGACTTTTGTCAAGTCAATCACCACCGCCAGATCAAAAAGAAATACCAGGCAAACACGACGCTGGCCACGAGCTGGACCGAACCAATCAGCTCCCGTCTAATCCTGGCAAGAGTCGGACGGCCGGCCCCGTGTTTCCGCCGATACCCATCGCTCTGCGGTTTCCACTTGGAGTTCTGCTCGGCCTCGTACTCTGCTAGTCCTGGGTAAGCATCAGGGTAGGACTTGGGCCGGGGTGGTGCATTCACCGCGCGACTGGCCAGACCGCGCGGTGATGGAAGTGTAGAGCTGGACGTACTGGAGGATGGAGGGATGGAGGTGATCGATGGCGAAGACGTGTACAAGTCTTGTTCGGAGAGAGGGAGGATGGGATCAGGCGAGTTCGGCTTTGGGAAGTACAGCACTAAAACAACCGCCCGGATGAGAAGGATGGTAAACGTAAATCCAAGAAGAAGCCCGTAGTGGATGAAAATGCCCAGCTGATCCGGGAGGAGGCAAAGATGGTTCTGGATCGTAGCCGAAGCGTGCTCACTCGGCTTCCCCGTCGTCAGATCAATAGGATTCCAGAGACTGGTGAGTAAAAAGCCAGGGTAACGGACTCCCATGGCCCAGCTGAAACTCTTCACAGTAATTTCCTTGGGTGAGCCACTAAACTCGCGGTGGGAGATCTCGCAGTAGTCATGGTCATCGCCCGAGTAGACCTGCACAAGATTGGACCCAATATTGGAAACAAGATCTTTTGAAATGGTCTGTGTCAAAACATTCTGGTACTGATAGCCTCCACCGAGCCTCAATGAGTTCGGCTCGTCCTCCTCAAGCTCCCCATCTGAGGAGGGAGGATAGCGTTCTCTGAAAGGTCCACACGGCGTAGCCGGCCTGCGGTACAACGGCACATGGGTCAAGAGAATCGTCGGAAGACCAAGAGCTTCCCACTGCGGATCCTTGGCGACCGCATTTTCCAACACCTGCACGGCGTCGTGCTTGAAGAGACGGCCTTTGCTCCCTTGAGTGTCATTCCGCAGCATAACCAGTTCCTCCGTCTCGGCCTTGGCAATATGTCGAGGCATTTCATTGAGAAAGTCCTTCGCCTCCCTCCAAATATGCTCATTAGGCTGCTCTCCATCCCCGGCTCCAGCGCCGGAGCTGCCTGTCTGCGGATCGGGCTGATCCATCGCGCTCAATGAAACCGTATCGATCGATACGAACGTGTGGTTCCCAATCACGTCGACACGATTCCCTTGGCCAAAGAATGACTGGAATCGTTCACGGACGGGCACCTGAACACCCGACCCGAAGCCCAGGTCATGATTGCCCGGTAGACTGGCAATCATCCGTCGACCTCGACGCTCACTAGAATGTCCGTCGCCCACATGAAACTGATCAGAAAAAATCTTCACGAATCGATGATATTCCTGCTTCCAGAAGGAATCCTTGTATTTCTGATAGCGCTTCTCAGGGCTAGTCGTCGACGATGTTCCCCACTCCCTACCCCCGTCGAATAGGTCACCAAGAAATACGACCGAGTCGGGGCCTAGCATTTGTTGGATAGTTGTAAAGGAGCGGCGGAGATACTGGTCTGTGTACTTGACCGTCAAGGTCGAAAGGGGCCATGGCCGACCGGGGTATGTATGGGGATCAACAAGTTGCGGATCGGCTATAAACACAACGTGATGTGGTGTGGCATCCCGGGGCTACAAAGAGTTAGCACTCCATCGATACAGAGATATGACCCGATCACTAACCCACTTCTCCCACTTGTCCCAGGCACACTTTTCCAGACTCTCCTGGAAAACAGTCCGTTCTCCCCACCACAGCGTCAAAACCCACAAGAATATCAAGGCGTTCGCAACAGTAAACACACGCCTCACAAAACGCCAGCAGATCTTCTGAAGTCCAGCTCCATTGTAATCATTTTCGACCCCGCTGAGTGCAGCAGGCATTCTCCGTTCGCGTAGTGTCGTAACCCATCTTCTGGCCCACAACGGTAGCGCCTGGGTTAGACGTTCATGGAGATTGGTAGGCTCGGCGAAGCGATCGCGGCGGGAAGATCGATACGCATTCACACTGTCACTACGTGGATAGGAGTAGCTCATGGTTGTGTTGCTGAGTCCAGGAAATAAAGCGACGGCTTAGTGTGTAGGCCACATTGCTCGAAACTCGATGACACGAAGTGAAACGGAGGTCTGTCTCGATTCAAACGAATAAGGGTATCATGCTGCAAAAAATGAAAGTAAAGGAGTGTGACTGACGAGTAGGACGAAACGTCAGAAATATACAAGCAGGCTGTGATTGGCAACCTTTAAGCCATCGTTGTCGTTGGAGTAAGGAGATCTCGAGGCGACAATAGGAGCACCTGGATCTCCGCTATGGACGGGATGCTATCACGTGAGAGTACCTCCGGAGTCACGGGCGTTTGGAATGCTGGGCATAACGCTGAAGAGCATTCGTGATCTCAATCTCTATATAATCTTACGGAAATCTAACAGAGAAGGTTTGAAGGAACTAAGCTAGCAATTCTCATGGATAGTGAGCTATCTCAAAGCGAGGCTTATCACGTGATGTTCCAAGTTGAGCCTGGGGCGAACTATTGCATGCGCAAGGCATCTAGAATAAGTGCCATATGCTTGTACTCAAATCAATCTACGGGGTTATTAGTAGCAAGTTCGCAGGTTGATAAGAATATATATTAAGGACATTGACATCCAAGATGCAGTTGAAGCCTGTCAACTGACGTTGTCGCCCACTATTCGTCATTCGAAAGGACCATCCGAACCCAAATAGATCTATAAGGAGCAGGATCGGGGCATCGAGTTAACATGTCGCAATAATACAAATGACAGGGTATGGAAAAAAAAAAAAAAAAAAGCAGCAAAGGAAGAATATGCTTTTAAGGACCGGGAATAATAATGCCAAACCAAACATCATATTGAATTGATTGCACAGAGGCGTGAGATCGAATCGATTATGACTTCTTGGGGCAGCACTGGCCCCTTTGGGCGCATTCTTCGCCGCATTCAAGTAGACACGCCTGAGGGTCTCCCTCTCGGAAGC